CGATTCAACTTCAACCTGAAATATATCCCCGGAGGGAAAAACATATTGGCAGATGCCCTGCCCAGGAAACCCCAGTTTGACAGTTACTGAGAGGAAATAGTACAGTCTTTAATATGAGAATCTCAATCGGCAGGCCAAGTAACCACTCGAGGCAACCCCAACTGCCTGGAAGACAAACTGACCACAGAATTGAAAGCAGCCCTATTGACCGATCCCTGGTTTGTGGAACATCAACCCTAATTAACAATCAATGAAGGACTGGCTTGGAAAGGGACTAAACTTTATGTACCCGCAACCCTAAGACTAATGGTACTAAAACGTAGCCACGACTCGTGACTGGTGGGACATTTCAGGTTCTTAAAAACCCTACATTTAGTCAGAAGACAGTTCTGGTGGCCAAAAATGAAACCTGACATAGAGGTAAAAAGATATTTACATAGATGTAAAAAGTTGCTCAGTTTGTGCCACAATGAAACACAGAACTGGAAAATCCCCCAGTCTCCTCCAACAAGCAGCTGAATCAACACAGCCATGGGAAGAAATCACAATGGACTTTATCATAGAATTACCTGAAAGTGGAGGGAATACAATCATTTGGACTGTCATCGACTTGTTCTCTAAGCAGGCCCACTTTATAGCCTGTAAAGGACTTCCATCTGCCAAAAAGCTTGCAAAACTTCTTGTGAAGCATATTTATAGACAAGTATCAAGACAATAATATCAAATATATAGAGTTAAGAACAGAGATAAAGTAACAGTGTCCTGAAAATATGTCCCCCCCCCCTTTTTTTCACCTTCACTTTTTTAGTTCCAGTCAGTCTTTCCTCTCAATGGCCAGCAGATGTCTCTCGAACTCAGTCTCTGAAGTTCTTTCTTTGTTTTAAATATGCTGTATCACTGTCACGGTCTCTCTAACGTCCATTTTAAATCCAAAGTTCCACAGTTCAAAGATTCAAAGGGGATATCAAACAACCAAAATCTGTCACAATTATCCAGTTCACCTTCTTATAGTTCTCCTCTGCTCTCTGAAATTACTGCTTCCGTTCTGTGGTTGTTCCCAGTCTTCTATTGTCTTGGCTTCCTTATCTATATTCTCTCCAATCTCTCTGCCCGCAATTTGTCTCGCAGCTCCTTCCGCTGCTAGCTACAGCTGCCTCAATCTGCTGAGCTTCACTCTGTTCTCCCTCAGGTCATGCTCCTTTCTCTCGCTTTACTCACTTGCAGCTTGGTTGTCAAATCTGTCAGTTCCAATCCACCTTCATTCCGCTATATCACCGCTTGATCGTCCTGCTGTCAGCCTTCTTAGTTGGCCATTGCTGGCTGTCCTTCGTTCGTTCCAGGCTATCTCCCGATCTCCGATGTGGATGGCCGCCTGCATAGGATCTTCAGGATGCCCACACCTTCAGAAGTCCCTACAGGTCTCCTTTCAACTCCAGAGAGTCCTACAAACAGTGGTAGAGAGGTTGTGTTACATGGAGTCTACTGTTCGCACGCCTGCTCTTCCTGACAGCTGGCTCCAACCCCCCCATCTATTGTTATAGTATTAAATATTACTTATTAAATAATACTACTCTAATAAAGCTTTGCAGGTATATATAAAAATTAGTATAGTGATTAATATAACTCTTTATTAGTATCAATTGATATCAATGTATATATATTATATATAAGTATATATGTATGCAACTATAGTTCGTTATAGGTAGTATATCTAGTATGCTGTGGTGTGAATATAGTACAATATAACGTAGTCACATATGCATAAAACAATGTTATCAGATATTTTGACAGTTACTATTCTAATCCATATATATTAACATATATTAGTATTTTATCTACTCTTAAAATCTTTAGAGTTTGTCAACCCGTGTATATAAATATATATAACCAATCTTCCCCTTCTTGTTATCAATATATCTTTCCGGACTTAATTAAATAAAATTTCCCTTTTTTCTTTTTTCTGTCCACAAGTTCTCACAAGGCTCCTTTCTTTTGTTGTTGTTGTTGAGGGTATTGCATCAGTCACTTAACTTAGTCCACTAAGCTTTAGTCCACTCAGTCGTGCTCTTGTTCTTTCTAAAACCACTTGTAGTCACACTTTCTTTCAAGATTTAAAATTTTTAAAGTTTGGTAGTCAATCACGATCGCAGTCACAGTCGATATACATAAAATAAGTCATCAAATATAATCCTCAAGCTTAGTCCAGAGTTTCTCTCCTCTCTTGTTATTTCCACAGTCTGTCAATAACTATCACGAACTGTCAAATGCTCCAACCGCTTAATCGCTGCTAATCTTGGGGTGGAAATCCTACCCCGCTCTTTAGAGTCTCAGTTTTCCTGCTCGTATTTTCTGAAAAATAAGTCTTTTACCAAAGTTTGGATGTGGAGTGTAAAATTTCTCACCGATACCATCGCAGTGTTTTTCTATTTTTTCTTCCTAATCCACGTCTGACTGTCACGACTCTGAATCCACCATAATGGCTGATTTCTTTCCTGCCAGCATCGGGGGGGGGGGGGGCTCTTGTCTGAACGGGAGATTGCCCTTCTCGTCGTCTCCAGAGCTTCCCCTCTATCTTGTCGATCCCTCCAGGATTGACACTGCCCTTTGCGAGCCTCCAAACAGGAAAATTCAGGCCATAGGAACAGAGCCCCCGTTCCTTTGCCCCACTTCACTGTGATGTCACCACCAGAAGTCCCCAAACTATATCTTTCAAAGATGCTGGAGCACTGGGGAACTGCCAGAGGACTGGAAAAGAGCTGATGTAGTTCCCATCTTCAAAAAAGGGAAAAAAATAGATCCAGGAAACTACAGGCATATCAGCCTAACCTCAATACCTTCTGGAAAACATAATCAAGCAACAAATTAGCGAACACCTAGAGGGAAACAAAGTAATAAACAAAAGCCAACATGGGTTTGTTAAAAACAGATCATGCCAGATAAATCTTACTGCATTCTTTGACAAAGTGACAAAATTAGTGGACCAGAGGAATGCTGTGGATATAATTTACTTGGATTTCAGCAAGGCAATTGATAAGGTAGACCATAACCTACTACTTGATAAGATAGAAAAATGTGGGTTAGACAGCATCACCACCAGATGGATTCATAACTGGCTGACCAACCGCACTCAATGTGTAGTCCTCAATGAAACTGCATCTACATGGCGGGAAGTATGCAGTGGGGTACCCCAAGGCTCTGTTTTAGGCCCAGTACTCTTCAACATCTTCATCAAAGATTTGGACGAGGGGATAGACGGTGAACTCATCAAACAACACTAAGCTGTCAGGAATAGCCAACACTCCAGAAGATAGGCTTAAGATACAGAAGGATCTTGACAGACTTGAACATTGGGTACTATCTAACAAAATGAAATTCAGTGGTGAAAAAAGCAAGGTTCTACAGTTAGCAAGAAAAACAACATGCACAGGTACAGTATAGGTGGTACCTGGCTCAATAGTAGTAACTGTGAGAGGGATCTTGGAGTCCTAGTGGACAATCATTTAAATATGAGCCAGCAGTGTGCTGCAGCTGCTAAAAAAGCCAACACAGTTCTAGGTTGCATAAACAGAGGGATAGAATCAAGATCACATGAAGTGTTAATACTACTTTATAATGCCTTGGTAAGGCCACACTTGGAACACTGCATATAGTTTTGGTTACCACGATGTAAAAAAGATGTTCAGACTCTAGAAAGAGTGCGGAGAAGAGCAACAAAGATGATTAGGGGACTGGAGGCTAAAACATAAAAACAAGGGTTGCTGGAATTGGGTATGTCCAGTTTAATGAAAAGAAGAACTAGGGGTAACATGATAGCAGTGTTCCAATATCTCAGGGGCTGCCACAAAGAAGAGGGAGTCAAGCTATTCTCCAAAGCACCTGAGGGCAGGATGGATGAAAACTAATCAAGGAGACAAGCAACCTAGAACTAAGGAGAAATTTCCTGACAGAACAATTAATCAGTGGAACAACTTTCCTCCAGAAGTTGTGACTGCTCCAACACTGGAAGTTTTTATGAAGAGACTGGATAACCATTTGTCTGAAATGGTATAGGGTTTCCTGCCTAAGCAGGGGGGTTGGACTAGAAGACGTCCAAGGTCCCTTCCAACTCTGTTATTCTATTCTATTCTGTCTGAATTTTGATCACTTGGTCATGGGGATGCTACAAAAGTCATAACTGAAAAAATGGTCATAACTCATTTTTTTCAGTACTGTTATAACTTTGAATGGTCGCTAAATGAACTGGTGTAAGTCAAGGACTACCTGTATCCTATCCTTTGCCCCAACTCTATGGCAATTTGATGTGTTTTTTTTTCTTCAATGTTCCTCTTATTTAATATAGTTGACAATCTTTTAACATTTGATATTCATACTTATCATTTGTTAATTTATCAATCTTAATTATTCAAGATTACAGTGTATTTTTGTGTCAATCTCTATTCTTTTTTTAAAAAAAACAAAGTTTTTATTTTTTACAACAAACATACGAACAAAACCTAAAAACATAAAACCATCTTTCAATTATATACATACAGTGTGTCAGTTGGTAACAATCTTTTGTGCTATCCTTTTTTTACCATTACTCACAAGTTGTATAAATTCTCACCTTATCGATCTAGCTTGTGCTTATGTAGTATCAATTATTAAACATTCATTTGACTATTTTTCCATCATATCATACAAGTTATTCTAATTTTCATTATGATATAATCTTATACATTCATCCAATGGTTATATATTTTATATTGTATTCTATATTAATCTATTAACTTTTATTGTAAGGCTTACTAGTCTATTTCTTTACCATGTCTTTTTATCTAACCATTGATAAAGGCAATTTGATGTGTATAGGACAGTTAAACTATGTCCTAAAAAGAGCTTGCAGTCTAGTTGACTAATTTATTGATTTTAATTACACATCTAAGTAGTAGTAGTTCATGTTTACCAGATTTTTTAAAAAGAGACTTCTCTTGCATCCTGGTACAAATTGCCCCATTTTCCAGGATGATCAGCTGCTGGATGATAGCAAAACTCTTGGCGACTGCGGCTTCACCAGTCAGACAGCGCGGCCCCAGGCCCCAGCAACAGTCGGCTTGGCCTTCAGAGTCAGTGGTGAGTGAAGTTGTTGCATGCTTCTTGAAACCAAAGAAAAACAATATTATCATTGTAGATTAAGAGCCTTAGACAAGGAAGTGGTTTTTACTGATAACCTAAGGGAGTTGGCCAAATTTGCCTTAGAAGAATATTCTGTGCCTGGGGTGCTCCCTTTGAAAAGACCCACTGGTAATGGTGTAATGCTACACATAAGATAGCAGCCAGCCAGGAGATGGCTTCCAGACGTGGTGTTAATGTGTATCTAGATATATCGGGTATCTAATTGGGTGTCTAATATATCTAATGCAAGCCATGTAGAGCTTTTAGCACCTGCCATCTTAGAGCTGATCTGGTCCAAGCGTCCCTGATTACTGACTACTAATCATGCTGAAAATTGATGGCTACCATTTTGCACCACAGCAAGAAATGTACACAAACTATAGTAAAAGCCTTGAAACGGGCTTAAGGTAGGTGTTGTTGTTTTTTTGAAAACAGTTTTATTGGTTTTTTTAACAAACAAACAAAAACAGACAAAACATAAAAGCATCAGCTCTCTTCCATACTTATATACAAACAGTGTGTCGGTTGGTTCATCAGTTTTGTGCATCCATTTCGTAGTCTCAATTACAATTATGTTACATAATAGCTCTTATTTTCAATCCTAACTTATATATTTTCATGTCATTATTAAAAAAAAAATCATTTGACTATACTTTTATTCATTCATACTTTATGAGATAACTATAATTTAAGTAATTTATTCTATAACAAATCATATAATCATGCCAATTCTATCCTAAAAAAAACACTTTATAGATATAGTATCTAATAACAAAAGAAAAAGAAAAAACAAGAATATTCCTTATTATCTAAAATTCTAGGTATTCTATTATCATATTTCATCATCTAACCATTGATAGAAAAGGTCCCAAATTTTATAAAATTGTTTGTCTTCTTGCTCTCTAATTTCAAATGTCAATCTACTCATCTCAGCACATTCCAATATTTTCTTAATAATTTCTTCCTGCGATGGAATTTTCTCATTTTACCAGTTTTTAGCAAATACAATTCTAGCCGCAGTTAATACATTTACAATCAAATATTTCAGATCTTTACTATATACATCTGGTAGAATTCCCAATAAAAAGAACTCCGGTTTCAAATCTATGTGTTTCTTTGTCATTTTTTCCAACCACATGCGGATTTTAGTCCAGTATTTTCTAGCGTCCTCACAAGTCCACCACATATGGTAATATGAGCCAGGTATTCCAACATTTTTCAGATTTATTCTTAAACATTCTTGCTATTCTTGTTGGAGGAAAATGCCACCTGTAAAACATCTTATACAAGCTTTCTTTATAAGCTGTAGACATTGTCATTTTATAATTTTGCAACCATAATTTCTGCCATTTCTCTAAATCAATCCCATATCCAAAATTCCTCCCCCAAGCAATCATAGTTTCTTTAACTTGTTCTTCCTCTAGCTTAATTTCCAATAAATAACCATATAATTTTTTAATCACCTTTTCATCAGTACCCATCAAAATCTTATCTAAATCAGTCTGTTTATCATAAAATCCCTCTGTTTTGGAATCCTCATCATACCTTGAGTGTATTTGCACATATGAAAACCAATTCATCTTTATACCTTGTTCCTCTAGATTTTGTATCGATTTAAGTTCACCCTTTTCATCTAATAATTCCCCATATCTAACTGTTTGTTCCTTCTTATAAATTATAGGATAAGAAAATGCTTCTAATCGTCGATAACCAAACTGGAATTTTCAAATAACATTGTTTTTTTATCTTTTCCCAATTTAACCACAAAGACTCCCGTATATAATGTCTTCGAAAATAGCCCTGTGTCTTAGTTCCCTTGTACCATAGAAAAGCATGCCAACCCAACAACAGATCATGACCTTCTAGTGTCAACAATCTAGTCTTCCTTAATGTTATCCATTCCTTAACCCACATCAAATTTGCAGCTTGGTAGTACAGCTCCCAATTAGGCAGGCCAAAACCTCCTCTAATTCTAGCATCTTGCAAGAGTTTTAGCTTTATCCTCGCTTTCTTACCTTGCCGTATATACTTCAACACAATTTTATTTAAATCCTCAAAATAGTCTTTCCCGAGCCTAATTGGTATTGTTTGAAACAAAAATAAGATTCTGGGTAAAATATTCATCTTAATTGTTGAAATCCTCCCTATTAATGACAGTTGTAGATTTTGCCATTTCTTCAAGTCTAAAGCTATCTGTTGTTTAAGTTTAATACAATTGTTCTCTTTTAATGTACTACATCTTGATGTCAAATGTATCCCCAAATACTTAACCTTATTCGTAACTTGAATTTTCAACTAATCTGCCAATTCTTCTCTTTGTCTTAATAGCATATTCTTTGACAAAATCTTTGTTTTATCTTTATTTATTTTCAAACCAGCCACTTCACCATATGTCTCTATCTTTTCCAATAGCTTCGCAGCCGTTTCTACAGGGTCTTCCAAAATAAAAACTAAGTCATCCGCGAAGGCTTGTAATTTAAATTCTTCCTTTTTAATTTTCATTCCTTTTATAGTTTTGTCTTCTCTAATGTTTCTATTCAACACTTCCAGGGTCAATACAAATAACAAAGGAGAAAGGGGACATCCTTGTCTTGTGCCTTTTCTTATATTAATAGAGTCTGTAAATTCTCCCTCCATCATTACCTTAGCTGTTTGTTCATGGTAAATTGCTTCTATTGCCTGAATAAATCTTCTAGCAAAACCCATCTGTTCCAATAAAAGTAACATAAATCTCCAATTCACATTGTCAAATGCCTTTTGGGCGTCTAAGAATATCAGAGCCATTTGCTTTTCAGGATGCGCCTCATAATATTCCAAAGTGTCCAGAATTACTCTCATATTATCTCTAATTTGCCTCTTTGGCAAAAATCCATTTTGGTCTGGATGAATAAAATTATTCAAATATTTTTTAAGTCTTTCTGCTAATATTGAAGCAAAGATTTTATAGTCTGCATTTAATAAAGAAATTGGTCTATAATTCTTAATTTGGAGTGGATCAGCCTCCTCTTTTGGAATAAGTGTAATATAGGCCTCTGACCATGTTTTAGGTATCATCTTCTTTGACATAGCTTCATTCATAACTTCTAACAGTGGAATACTCAGTGACTCTTGAAATGTTTTATAAAATTCTGCAGGGAACCCATCTGGACCTGGTGCTTTCCCATTATTTTGTTTCTTGAGTGCTTGACTTAATTCCATCATTGTTATATTACTTTCTAACATTTCTTCAGTCTCTTTGGATATCTTAGGTAAATTTGCATTCTGCAAGTACTGTTTAACTTTCTCCTCATCAATATCTTCTTTCTTATATAAATGTCCATAAAAATCTCGGATAATTTCTTTTTTCTCTTTGCTGCCATAACAAATTTGACCTTGGTCATCTATTAGCTGCAATATTTTCCTCGAATCTTTCTCCTTTCTCAGCTTATATGCTAGCCATCTACCTGGCTTATTTGCATCTTCAAAATAATTCTGTTTAGCATTCCTAATTTTCTGTGCCAGTTCTTCTTTCTCTATTAAGTCCATTTTATGTTTAGTTATGTCCAGTTTCAGTTTAATGTCTTTTTTCTGTGTCATTTTCTGTAATTCTTTTTCAAGTCTTTTATACTCATCCTCCAAGGCTTTAATGGCTTGCCTTTTCCTAATATTCTTTTTTCTTTTGTAGTCTATTATCAAACCTCTAGCATATGCCTTCATTGTATCCCAAACATTCTGTATTGAAGTATCTTCTTTTCTATTTTCTTTAAAAAAAAGGCCAGTTCTTTCTCCATCCATTGTATAAATTCTTTCTCCTTTAGAATAGTATTATTTAACGTCCATCTCGATCTTTTTTTTTGTCCCTTCCATTTAATTGTCAATGGATTATGATCAGCCCAAGTACTTGTTTCAATGTTAACTTCTTGAACGCTAGATATTAATTCTGTTGAAATCCAAATCATATCTAATCTGGACCATGATAAATGTCTATTTGAATAGAAACTATATTGCTTAAGTTTAGCATTTCTTTCTCTCCATATATCTTTTAAAATTAGTTCATCTGTCATTTTAAAAAAGGATTTAGGAAGAATTTTTCTATTGTACTTTGCTGTTGTTGCTATATAGTCCAGTTTATTGTCCACGATTCCATTAAAATCTCCCATCATAATTATATTAGCATAGTCCAGTCCGGCCATTTTCATATGTAATTTTTTATAGAATTATTCCTGTTTATCATTCGGAGCATAAATTGCAGTCAAAAGTATCTTTCTATTGTTGTTCGTTATTTCCACCATTAATATTCTCCCATCTTCATCAGCGTAAATCAATTTTGCTGGGGTGGCCTCTTTGATATATAAAACCACTCCTCTTTTCTTACATTGGGTCAAAGAAGTAAACAATTTCCCTAATTTTGGTTGTACTAACAATTGTTCATGTTGCTTTTTAATGTGTACTTCTTGTAAATAAATTATATCAAATTTTAATTTCCCTAATTTATGAAAAATCTTCCTTCTCTTAGCAGCTGAATTCAGTCCATTTATATTCATTGTAATCAGTTTTTTTCTCTTCCATGGTTATATTTTATATTTAGGTTTAGCCGCTCTCGTAGATCTTAGTTCCCGCTGATCTTTAATATCCACCTGTCCACCTACTGCGCCTTCTTCTTTTCCAATCTCCATTTGTTCCTCTTGGAATTCAATTAATGAAATCTCTTTTTCTGCCTCTTCTTCTCTCCTTCCAAAAAATTCTGCGTAGAAAAGTTCTGCTTTCTCAATTGAATCAATTCTGTGTCTCTGTTCTTGCCATGTAAACATCAATCCTTCTGGGATCAACCATCTGTAATTCACCTCCTTTTTCAATAACATTTTGGTCAGAAATCGATATTCTCTTCTCATCTCTCTCACTCTTCTGGGTATTTGTTTTAAGACCAAGATTTCTTTGCCTTTATATTTCAACGTCTTCTCTCTTGCCGCTTGTAAAAT